ACCAATCAGAGGAGGCAGTCTCACGAGTAACATGGCAAGTCTAGGATTTTAATTTCTATGCCTATACAATATGCATCAGTCCTTATTAAATTACATCCAATCTCCTTAAAATGCCTCCTTTTAAATGTTCAATGAACACGTGCCTTCTACATGCAGATTTACATAAATGCAAATGTGTGATTTCCCTCCTGCGCACCTTCAAACATCACAATAATGAGAGAAAGGAGAGTGAGATTCCTAGCGTGGTTGCTGACAGTGATTAATTGTTCCCACATGTTGCTGACGGACAAAAAGGCCTCTGTATTCCTGAGCTTTGGCTGCAGATGGTGGACTCACACACACACACACACACACACACACACACACACACACACACACACACACACACACACACACACACAGCTGGGGCCTGTCCATGAAGAGAGTTCAGTATCGTCAAGCTATCCTTTAGTCAGATTACTTAAAAAATGTTACACTGTTGAACCTGGATAACCGGTCTCATGAACAGTCGCCTATGTTGACCCAGAGTTATGTAGACCAAGCTTCCAGACCAGCTAAGGGGAAGCTTTTACTATCAATTACAGAAAACCCCAACATAAAGAGCACTTCATTTGACAAACCAAGCAGGATTGATCAGTTGTGCAAATAAAAAATGCTGATAAAAAAAAATAGAGTCAAAAACCTTTTATTTAAATGTTATGTGTCAACCAGGGACAAGTCCGGACAAGTCTCAACATGTTTCCTCTGGTATAGCTGTGAATAATTTCTGCACCAGTCGTTTTTTGGATTTACCATGAAAAATATTTTGGGGGGAAAAGATGTAACACAAACATTAAACAAGACAAAATACTAAATTCTAGAATTGGATCTTGGATCTGTGAGATAAACGCACAAATTTAGAGAGACTTACTGGGGCAGTGTCACTAGCGTCATTATCACTGTGACGAGCTGTGTTGTTGTGCGCGTGTTATTTAGCTGCTGCCGCTGAATAGCAGCGAGTTATGAATCAGAGCTGCTGCCTCAGTGATCTGTTTTTATTGACTGACTTGGGGAATACCCCAGAGGAGTTACAGTTCTAAACATATACAGCATCCCACTCACACAGCGATGTGCCATGTGTACACACAAACTGGGAGAGCATACACATTCTGAAAAGAAGAAAATGTAACTTAGCGCTGCCTTTTATGTAGGTGCCTCAAGGCAGCTGCGTTTTATTATATAGAAGCACAAGAATATGTTACAAGGAGCACAGGGTTCCAAGAAAGAACTGTTATTGATTCCTGATTACACTTTTTTCAGTTACAAGGAAGAGACAGGTTAACAGTTAATTTTTAAATAATGTACACACAGAGGCTTTGGATAATCTATTGTAAAGATCTGAAGGTTTAAGCTCCCAGAATTAAGTGATTTTATGTTGTATGAAGGCTTTTGTAAAACATTGGTGTGATAAATGTGTAGTGAAATTAACTCTTGGTCAAATAAAGACTGGTCATTTTAGTATGATGGAAACAGACATGGCAGTCTGCAGGAGAGTGAAGCAAAGATATTTTCAAGAAACAAATGGCTTAAAGGTTTGTCCACTTAAATCCTTAAACGTGTTTTAAATGCATCAGCTATGCAGGAAGTATATAGGTTTGATTCTCAACGATCACTAAACCATAGACTTGAAAATGTATCTTGTAAATTTCATCCAGAACAACGGGAATAATCAGTAAGGTTTATGTAGCGGACTGTGTGGACATATCTACTACTATGTACAACACATATACATCACAACTCATCCTGATACTAGCAGGCACATTTATCTTTCTTTCACCCTGCAATCATCATCTTCTCACCCTCTTTCTCACCATCACTCACAGGTTTTCTCTTTTCACCTTTTTTTTTCCTTTCTTTTCTCTCTTCTTTTATCGCTGTCCGTGCTTCGGCTGCAGATGTCCTGTTTCCTTTTATTGCTGCTCCATCACGCCAAGTTAGAAATACTTCACTTGACATTTGAAGGATACGAGCAGTGGCACGGGAAAAGAGAAACATTAAACAAGTGGATCAGTTGGAGGAGGGAGAGTGGGGGAAGTGAGGAAAAAGGTGGTGTAGGATGGAGCGAGGGAGAAAGATTGATGAAGTTTCAGGTGCTGGCAGGTAAATATTTACAGCAGCCCGAGAAGGAAACTCCCATTCCATTAATTCTGCTCTCATTCACTTCCCCAATTTCTCCCTTTCCGTGAAAAAGCAGATTTTCTGCCATTATTTACATCTTCTGTGCAGCTGGAAACATTTAGCCTGTGTGTGTGCGTGTGTATGTGTGTAAAATGTTCTGTAATAAAGCAGCATTACATCATGCCTCAAGAGATGCTGGCAGAGGATAAACAATGGTCTCCTAGGTATTTCTTCTCTTATTACCTCATTGAACAAAATACACACACACACACACACAGACTTGGATAACATGCATTATCATTCGCACTCCATTCATAATTAAGTGCAGCTTTCTATTGATTCACTAAGGCACAGTATTAGTCAAAAAGATGTGTTTGCATTTACAATTGCTGCAAATGCAAGCCTGAGCATTTCCATAAAACTAAACACAAACACACACACACACCACATGAAGGCCCAAAAACACACACACTTTTTTAAAGGGTCATAGGTTCAGTTTGGCCCCAGAGATCTCTTACTCTGCCAGCATAGCATTGGGAACGGTAACTCAAGCCTGCTCCTTCTCCTTTCTGATTGAACTGCCTCTGACCAGAAAAACAATCCAGACCAAATAGTCTGTAAACTGTTGCCCAGGCAAGATGGGTCTGCTTCTGGAAAACAATATTGTGATTCCCACAAAACCTTGCAAATTGTTTGGCCCTTGCAGTTTGGAACCCAGAAATGTGTTCTGTTTAAGAGAGTAAAAATATACAGGGGAGGAAAACGGAGAGGAAAAGATGTGTGCATTTTGTAGATGGTGGTTGGGTTGTTTATATGGAAGGATATAGCATAGCCCCGGAGTCCCTCAGGGCCCATAAGAGCTACGTGTTTGTGAAACAACGGAAGAGGAGGGGGTATGGAAAGAGAAGGCAAAATAATGAATTCAGCAAGGGCTTTGGGAGGGCAGGGAAGAAGAAGACAGTGTGGAAAACAAAGTCAAGTCTAGAAAGGTCATATCTACAAATGACCTGGAGAAAGAGAGCGAGGAAAGAGAAGGAGCGGCAAGTACATCCCTCCAGTAAATGCATCGATTGAGGTGTGATGTCTCTTGTTAGAACTTAAGCTTCTTAAGACAAAGCATACAACATACAGCATAGTCCCTAATACGTCTTGGAACAACCAATTAGTGAATTTGAGTCCTGACTGAGGAGGAAAAAGCATCTCCACAGTCTTAATATGCTGTGTGAACCCATAATAAAGCGCAATACTAAATTTACAAGTACTGCTCTTGTTTGATTAAACAGTGTTGCAGTTTCATAAAGTGGTCACATTGCTTTCTTGGTGATGTCTCTTCTCTTGTGATTTAACTATACCTCAAACTTCTGACATCAATCCAAAACCTTCCTTAATATCAGATTAAATAATATGAAAAAAAAAGTTCTTTAACTGTAACTGTTCTCTATTGGGTTAGCAATTTAAGTCTGACTTAATGTGACAAAGGTTAAAGCTAGTTAGAGATCCACCCATGTAATTAAATTTGCAGAAGTTTACTTGTAGCCTTAACAAAAAAAAAGAAAAGACGTTGCTTTTTAAAACTCATCAACCCCAAAAGTCAACAGACAGGCTAACCGCTTTGTGAGGCTGTAATTGGTCATAACAGTCCCACTTTGAGCTAAATGCCAACTTCAGCATGATAGTGTGCTTATAATGACAATTAGCAGATAATGCTCAAATCAACATTTGCTAGTAAGCACACGTAGTAAAAGTATGTGGATTTTTTTTAAGCCTGCAGAGTATAACAAGTTGTTCCACAGGGGTGTTATATCATTGTTTGAGTAAATAACATGTGCTTACATCACTCTGCTAAAGATCACAAACTTGATCATTAGCAGAAATCCTTTTCTAAAGAATACTCAACAACAATATGTTTCCAAACCAGCCTTGCATGTCTTTGAGGCATTACTTAAGCAGGGAATTGTTTTGAGCTAAATGCTACCTTGGGATTGTAGCCTGCTCACATGCTAACCTGCTTGTGTTTAGCAGTTATCACTGCATGCTTACATGCTAAACTAACTCTTAGTCTACGAGCAGGATTTTTCTAATGAGAATTTAGCATCAAACTCAGTGTGTGTGTTATAAGAAATACTATCAGTTCAATATGTAAACGAAGCCATAGTGCAGTGCAGCAACAACAGACTCCACAAGGACGTTATATCATAGTTGGAGCATTAAATGTGTACTTACATGACTGGGTTGTAAGAAGACCTCTTGATCATTAGTAAGGGCTGCCATGTGCATTGGCTCCCCCACAATAACCTCTGAGGCTTACACAAGGAAGTTTCTCAGAGTTGATCAATAAACAGCAGCCAGCTTACACACACAAGAACACACAACACACATGATCTGACTCTGAATGCGCTTCTTAAGCAACACAGGGGCTCTTTGTATGTGTCATTCATAAATGGAGAGACACTTGATTATAGATCACTGTCTCTCTTTTCCCTATTATACTCATAACACAAAAGCTACAGTGGTAACAATGCAAACATCAGCACTAATTGCTGCTGAAGTAATGTGTTCTTGTCTAGATTAAATGAATGAGCAATTGAAAGGGACAATTTCACTTGTTTCTATGTCTAGTCACCAAGAGAAACTGTTTACACTGCTGCAGAATCAGTAGAGATGGGTTGTTTGTGTTGTTGGACTTAAAGAGAGGCATTCATTGAATGGTGTATTGATGAAAAGGAGTAGAAGAATACAACAAATCAATTCTGATTGCAGTCATTGTTCAGGAAATTGTTCCAAAAGGATTTTACGCAAATCACTCAACACAGTGCCTTCTCTTTTCCTTCTTTGTGTTACAGAACTCCATCCGGCATAACCTCTCCCTACACAGTCGTTTCATCCGTGTCCAGAACGAGGGAACTGGGAAGAGTTCTTGGTGGATGATAAACCCCGAGGGAGGGAAAGGTGGAAAGGCTCCTCGCCGCCGTGCAGTCTCCATGGACAACAGCAACAAGTACACAAAGTCCGCCCGTGGCCGTGCTGCCAAGAAGAAGGCAGCCCTGCAGGCTGCAGCAGCTGCTGCCGGAGAAGGCGGCGGAGACAGTCCTTCAGGTCTTTCCAAGTGGCCTGGAAGCCCGACATCACGTAGCAGCGAGGAGCTCGATGCCTGGACAGACTTCCGCTCCAGAACTAATTCCAATGCCAGCACACTGAGCGGTCGTCTCTCGCCCATTTTGGCAAACCAAGAGCTGGACGAGGTGCCCGATGACGAGCCTCCGCTTTCACCAATGCTCTACTCCAGCCCTGGCAGAGCGCTGTCTCCAAGCAATGGAACAAGCAATGGGAAGCCTATGCCAGCTGAGCTGCCCCGCCTAGCAGATCTGGCAGGTACAATGAACCTAAACGACGGACTCACAGATGACCTGATGAATGAATTGCTTGATAACATCAACCTGGTGCCAACTGTTCCAGTACAGACCGCTCCAAATGGTTCCTCAGGGTTCAATTTTGGGTCCAAACCCAATGGGCTTGGCTCACCTTCCTCCACCTCTTCTCCCTCCCCCAACGCTTCTTCTAATGGTGGAGTCAATGGTTACAGTAACTCCATCTTTGGCCCCCACCAGGCCACCTCCACTCTGCGTCCATCACCAATGCAGACGATCCAGGAGAACAAGCAGACCTCCTTTTCCAGCATCAGCCTGTCTCGTTTTGGCAGCCAGACACTACAGGACCTGCTCAACTCTGACAGCCACAGCCACAGTGATGTCATGATGACACAGTCGGACCCACTGATGTCACAGGCCAGTGCTGCTGCTGTCATTTCCCAAAACTCTCGCCGTGGCCTCATGCTCCGAAATGATCCCGTAATGACCTTCGGGACCACTGGAGGACTTCAGGGTAGCCAGGGGGAGATGATTCCAAGTAAAAACCACAACCAGAGCTCCCTCAGGTCTTTAAACGGAGGCCTAAACCTTGCCATTGAGGCTAATCTGGCAAATGCCAAGCAACAGCTCTTGCTCTCCCCCTTGGGCGGAAATGGCTCCTCGTCAATGCAGATTGACACATCGATCTTCCTCAATGGGACTGTTAGCAGCAATGGAGGGATCTGCCAGGACCGTTTTCCCACAGATCTGGATCTGGACATGTTCAACAGCAGCCTTGAGTGTGATATGGACACCATCATCAGAAATGAGCTGATGGATGCAGATGGTCTGGATTTTAACTTTGACTCTTTGGCCAACATGAACGGGGTTGGCAATTTCGCAAACACCAAGCAGACCTCTCAAAGCTGGGTACCTGGCTGAGAGGGTCAGGGCAGAAAGGAGCAGAGCAGGTGTGTATGCGTATGTTGTGTTCATCGGGATTAAAAAAAAAAAAATGTAATTGCTTGACCAGCCCTATCTGCATGATAAAGAAATAGAATTACTGGCATTGCAGATACAGACTCGAAAAAATGTCTTTAGCTTCTCTTCTAACCTAGTATCTAGAGCTGATATTGTTCTCCCTATCTGGTTAATCCTCACTGAAAAGTTTCTCCCAATGGCTTTACATACTACTGCATCTTTTGACCACAAAAAACACACTGGATATAGGTTATTGTTTAACAGGTCCAAAACCAAAACTGACCTGCTAGACAAGCTAGCTTCTCCTGTTAGTTTTGGTTTTTCTTAACTCCATTCATGAAAGTTTTTAAAAGCTCTTTATCCTCAGTTTATGGAGGGAATCTTTGGAGACAATGGTCCACTGCCAAAGTTACTTTCAACACTAAAAGTTACTTCAGTTATACTCTGCCACTGCCTACACATAAAGATGCATTTATTGTGAAATAAAATGCAGGGAGTACCATGGCAGAAGCTTTATGCTTCAAATTCATGTATTAATCGATTTATTCAACCTTTGTTTAAAACTAAGTAATCATTGAGCGCATGCCCTTATTATCATTGATGTACAATTAAAGGTAGGACAATTCAAACAAAAAGCAGTTTAAAACAAACCAAAGAGAAAAATAAATGATAAGTAACAGGAAAATAAGCAAGCAGAGAAGCAAAAGTACTGGTTAAAACAGTTACACTCACGAGCACATTCATTTGTAATCATGTTTTTAAATGTTTTTTAATGAACAATACATGTTGTTTGACTATTTCTTGTATTAAATCTAAATAAAAAAAAACCTCAGAAATATCTCATTTCTTTTATCTCCTCAGGTCTGAACTGTGTTCAAGTGAAGATCAGACACACAACACCCTTTTTGCCAAACCTGCCATCAGCACAACGTTAAAAAAAAAAACAACCCTGTGTTTACAGAAGACTTCCTCTCAAGAGCTTTACCTTCGCTCCCACAACGGTGCACCATGAACGAGCCGACAGACTCTAGCGATACTGCACATCAGCCCTCAAAGTCTCTTGTGAAACAACCACAAAAAGAATGCTATGTCAAACTCACAATACTTACAATTATGCATTTTTCCTATCACACCCTGTCTGTTGATATCAAAGAGACACTGCTTATGCCAAGGGGTTTTAGGTGGACTGAGCACATGGACTAAATGTCAAGCATAGATTGAAGGAGTGCACAGTGCAGTTGTTCCCACTAAAGACGAACGTCAAAACAAAAGTGTAAAGCAAAAAAAAAAAATCAAGAAGTAATGGTGATGTAAATCAGATCCATGTGTTTCCTGGGATGTGTTATGTTGAAGAAGAATTCCTCCCTGTTTTCACTTAGTGATTATAAGTGTGAAGTGTTGTTTTTCGGGTATTCTGTTTAATCATACAGTAAATGTTCCTGCAACAAACGTGTGTACAAAGGAAACTGGTGTATTGTTGACAATGAAATACGAAATGGAGAGTGGCCATGCATTAAGAACATGCAAACACACAAACAGGCAAACCTAACACTTTGTTCCAGTTTGCAAAACCTGAGAACACTTAAAAGTTCAAACTTCTCCTTTTAATGTGATGCACTTCAGGTTCTGTAGATATAAATTGCTTTAATCGGCATACTAAAAGTTATATCACAATTAGCTGAATATATAAAAAAAAATAGTATACCTAACTGAAAAAATGTAAAAACATGAAGTTTTTGGTCATGGATATTTGTAAAGTTCAGGTCAGTGTTTAAGTTCAAGAAGGAGGGGGAAAGATCGTGTCTAACTTTGGTAGATTTCTTATCTTCTGGTGAGTTCTGTCGAAGTTGTTATCACTGCATACAATGTAGCCAAAATAAATACCTGTGTCCTAGAGTTGTGAACATTTCCACACCATAACTGGTGCTATGTAAACAGTGTTGAATCCTGCCCCAAGAGCAAGCCGTGCATTTTTTGTGTGTTCGTTTTATTTTTCCGTTGTTGCTTATGATTTGCAGAAGCCCTTGTAGCACGGTGAGGTTGAACCTGTAGAAAAACAGGTGGACATCAGGAGAGGCAGGGTTTTTTAGGGTCATTCCTCTAGAAGCCATTTGTTTCTTGAGTAACACGATAAGCTATCTCTGTATATTGCCAAATTACTTGAAACAGACAGTAGGATATGCTGGCAGCCAAACCACAGCACACACACACGCACACGCACACACACATATGGTAAAAAAAATAATACCAGGGATCTGTGTTAGGCTCAGCTGTTTTCTTGCCATGAGCTTGTGGGGCTTGTTATGCATATATAGACTCACTCAGGGGGGGAAAGGGAGGCTTCCTGTTAACATAACATCAAGTCACATTCTAATGGTATTTTAACATTTCTTGATGAAAACAGTAATGCTTTGTGTTTGTGAACTTGTTACCTGTGAACATGTTTTGGGCCGTAAAGATGAAGACGAGGAAGAAGGAGGATAAATGTCAGGATTAAGACTTCACACGGTCTTTTTATTTTTTTATTTTGCTGTCATAGTTTCTTCTTTTTTTTTTTTCTCTCTCTCTCCTCTTTGTTGGACTTGCGACACACAGGCACACACACATATCCCCAGATGGACGCCCATGGTGCTCCTGCAGGTGAATTTCTGAATCTCCTGAGTACTTGTTTAATATGTGTGTGTCTATCTGTAGAGTTTATTTCTGTTGGATTGATCTCACCAGGATGTGTAACCACCTCACTTATCCCTCATGGTGCATACAGCACAGTTGACTGTATGCATGTATGTATTTATGCATTATGAATTGTGTGAAATGCATATATACTCGCTGTATATGTCCTTATATATTCATGTAGTACTTGACCCTTGGATTTTGTGATACCTCTGAAGGTAAAGGTGAAGAAATAATGAACAAGGTTACACCCTTAACGGAGGGAATACTGTTACCAGCGATTTAATTGTTGAACCAGATTTTGTAAAATGATGGAAAACACTATTGTTGTAGCATCTGGAGACCCTGGTATCCCTTCTTTTTTGGGGTCATGTATGGATATATACGCCCCGCTGTGTATAATAGTGTACAGATGTGTGTATATGACTTTGAGGCCAAGGCAGAGGAGTGTGTGTGCATGGTTGGCTAGAATGACCCTCTGTGTTATCTGAGGTTTAGTGCATGACCTAGCAACCCCCCCCCCCCCCCCCCCCCAACCCTTCAAATGGTGCCGTCCTGCAAGAAATTGTAATTTAGGAGAGACACCCAGTGTCTTTAGCACTCAAATGCACACTTCTTTTGTTTTCTGAAATCAGGGCCTTACACTTGCACCATCCTCCTGTAATAATAGGTCGATTGTTATCATAAGTGTGTGAATATCGATGCAGGCGCAGGGAAAAGCCTCTTGAACAGACGTCCCTTAGCTTCATTCTTTTTTTTTACTCAAGGTGAATTACAGAAGATACAAGTTCTGGTGCTCAAAGAAAGCATTGGTGGTAACTTTGACTCTCTTAAAGTGCCATCTTACTGTCATTTCCTACACCTTGTCACATCAAAAATTTCCAGAGTATTATCACATGTTTTTTTAGGCAGAGGGAAATCCTCAGCCATCACCCGAACTGCTTTTTGATTTCGTCCAGACTAACTGTACAGAAAAAAAGGAGCTCTGACAAGGTGAATACAGGGGTTATTGATCCGTGATAAACTGCTCATTGCAATTGCAACAAGGGTTCTTTTCTGTTTTGTTCATTTCGTGTAAAATCTTCTGGCTTTTGGAGAGTTAGCTTTCACCATGTCAAAGTGGAGCAGGCCATCCACACAACCACTCAGTGATATTCAGGCACAGATTATCTCCTCTAGTGCCCAACACACACACCTGCAGCACAGCTTGTGCAAATTTCAAGCTAAGTTAAGCAAAAAAAAAAAAAAAGACATACCACTAGATACCTTAATCATCTCTTTTGGATTATCGTCTCCATTCTTGTTTAGACACCCCAGCAAGCTTTCCTCTATACACCCTCTGAACTTTGTCCTCTGATCTTTCCCCGTTCATTAATCTTGCTTCTTTTTTCGACTTGATGTTAGTGGGTATTTTTCCTGTGTATTCCATTTTGAATTGTAATCTAGTTTGTATAAGAAATGGTGCGCATGTAAATAAAGCTTGGTGAGGCTTCACACACTCTGTGTCTTTGTCTTGACTCATTTTTATTAAAGTGAAAACTGAGGGAAAAAAAAACACAAAATTCCAAAAGTGAAGCGGAACTAAAAGGCTGCTGTTAACAGCTCTTACTGCCATGAGAGGAATTCTCAGCCTGGCGAGGGAAAATGTTACAGCTCTCTCGCCTGCTTTACGTGTGACGCTAATTCACAAGTTCAATTGCCAACTGCTTTCCACAACAGTGTGTGTGTGCACTTGTGCATGAACAAATTTAACCTCACACTCCCTCCCAGAAGATAAATCTCGTTCTCATGTCAGTCTGGAGGGAACAGCAAAACAACTCCCTGTTCCTCTCCAGTTCCTGGAAGTTCTCTTACACAATGTTCTGTGCACGGCTGTTTTAAACGACAGCAGACACACGGCAACTCTCTGATACCTCTGGGCTGGGCGCTTTTGCTCGGCTGTTGCGAAACATAAAGGGAATAGTGCAAAAGGGAACAGTCAGAGAGGAGGGTCACTGAAATATCTGATATTACCCCCGGGCTCTAACTGTAAACACAGACCCTGGCTGTACCGCTCTGATGACATTCTTCTTTGTCTCCTTCTGCCGCTGCAGCTTCTGTGGAAATGTCTGTCTCCTTAAAAAATGTATTGATCTTTACAGTAAAAGTGAAAGCTAGGCTTCACTATCCCGCCTTCCCACCACACTCTGCCAATGAAGGTGTCTGGTCCTACCTTCACAACAAGGCCCTGAATCACTAGCTAGAGATTAATAATGCATCGTTGTGGCTCGTTTGGGCACTTCCTTCTTTTAACTTCAGAGTGATAACTCATGGTGGTTATCTTCAGGTTTAAAAATGTTCCTTTTTGGATTGTGATTTGTATAAAAGCAAATGTGTGTGTATGTGTAGTAGTCTATATGTTTACACACACACACACACACACACACACACTGAAGGTTTACTGATAGTTATAGTGAAGTGTCCATTTGATTTCTTGGATAAAGCTAGTTGTAGTTAAATGATTTGTATTCATGACTTCATTACATTTGTGTACAGGACTGAATAGATCATTTTTACCTCTCGTTATTACCTCTGAAAGTGAAGTTATGGTTGAGTTTACATTTTTCCATGGCTATTGAACTTCTGGCCTGGATTTACGTGAAACTTGCCCGAATGGTGTAATGTGCCAGAGAAGATCCCCTGTAATGCTGTATAAGCATAATGATCGGGGTTGTGATTGGCAGATTTGCACATCAACGAAGAAGTTAGTCTTGGTTTCTAAACAGTTACCGATACTGTAAAATGTTCAGACAACACTTACATTTAATTTCAGTTTAAAATGCTGGATTTTCAACAGTATGAAAGACAGATACGAAAAAAAGATACTGTAGTAAATCCTCTGTAAATTCACAGAAATGTGTTACAGTGTATTATGTTAGCCTTTGTGTCTGACCCTGTCCTTAATAGCTACAAATTATTATTATTTTTTTTTTAAAGATTTATTTTTGGGCTTTTTGTGCCTTTAATGGAGAGATAGGGCAGTGGATAGAGTTGGAAATCAAGGAGAAAGAGTGGGGAATGACATGCGGGAAAGGAGCCACAAGTGGGATTCGAACCTGGGGCACCCGCTTGTAGGACCACAGCCTACATACATGGGGGGGCGCGCACTAGCCACTGCGCCACCAGCGCCCCCTAGCTACAAATCTTTACCAAAAAAAAATCCCTAAACTTTACACACTGAAAATATTTACACCAAAGTATAAAAAGTGTATTTATGTCAAACTTCTTTCTTACCTTGTCTCCACCCAACGATTCCTTTATATCAGGTAATATTTAAGTACAGTACATTCACAATGGTCTACAGATGTTCAGCTTTTAAATATGTTGCTCTCCATCTCTGTCAGAATAAAAAACCAGTCTGAATGATTCGTGAAACCAGAGCAGGGTAGTCATTTACAGTCTGGTGCAGCCATAACCACACTGTTTATCATTGCTGCCAAACTCAGGACATGCATCAGGAACTTTAGGTTTACCAGTGTGGCCCTTTCCTTTGTACTCAAATATACAAAGGAACCTCAAACAAACAAAATCTTCACTGTTTGTTTGGTAACTCCAAACCCTCTTTCTTGTTAAGAAGAATATGTAGAGGGGATAAAAGAATTGGAGGGGGGAAATTATCGCTCATGTTCATCCAAACAGCCACTGCAAAGCTCAGGGCTGACTGCACACTCCAAAAGACTCAAACATGCTTTATGACTGTGAGGGCAAGACTCACCACAACTACAAATACTCAACCCACATTTCAATAGCAGTTCCCGGTCAGCTGGTCACATGACCCACTAAATGTCTGGCCTGGCTGCAGTCACACCAGTGTGCACGAGGTCACTGAGGTTATTGGTTGGCTGTAAATCCTCTGAAACCATCTGTTTTTCTTGTTTTGGTTCTTTGTTATTTTAGATCAACACATTCCTGTTATAGATTCAGCGAGCCAAATAAAGTCAAGTATGATGATTTTTTAAGCGCCCCCAAATTTCCCTTTGTTTTTCTATAAAAAAAAAGAGCATTCCTTTGCCATATGCTCATGTCATTATATGCACACAAAAAAACACAAAATCTGTTGTTTGTGTTCTGTCCCTGCTTGTTGTCTCCTTCGCTATAGTTTCACATCGTGTCATAACGAAATTACTGTCTCTTTTTTTTCGGTTGCTGTCTTTAACTACACCCACATTTTGGTGTTTTATTCCTCTCTGCCATGTTCTTACTTTGTTTGAATACAGGAAGCAATTGGCCCATTTGCTCAGAGCTCATTGTGTAGTATGTCACCAGAAATCAATGAAGCATTTTTTAATCCTTCAAAAAGTGACTTTGCTAATGTGTTTTTCAGAGTGTGTGTTTATGTGTGCTTTACATAATATCGTCACGATGTCATTTTGTCTTTCAAATGTAAAACTATTAAGATATAACACTTTCTTTTCTTTTCTTTTTACCTTACAGCAATAACGTAACTTTGTGTACATCAGGTGTTTTCATGAGGGTTTACATTTACAGGTGACTGCAGATCTTAACGATAGGCTCTGATAAACTGGTGCTGAACAAAAACCCTGGTTAAATTACTCAGCTTCAGCTTGGGGTGTAATTCTACCTGAGAGGGAGTGGTGTGCCATGTAAGTCTTTCCATGCACACGTGTGTCTTTGTGTTTATTTATTGTTCATAGCGTGCAGTTTGTGGTCTGGTGAGTCAGCACCACACCAATGAAAAACCCTGAGTCACAAAGCAAGGAGAGAAGTGATAGGTTGAAGGTTTTATGGGAATATATATAAAAATGCAATAACATGAATTTGAATTAAATGTTGAGTATTTAATTCAATGTCCAAAGCCGCATTCTCCTAAGCTGATAACTAGACTGACTTTTTGTTGAATTTGTCTGACATTTTGTTGATTTACGGCAATTTATTGCTCTGAGGGGGGTTAATTTGTTTAATTAAGCTCTAACCGAGTGACATATCCGTTCTGCAAACATAATTTTCACTTGGCACAGGAGAAGCTTGCCAGTCTTTGCCAGGAGCTGTTCGTTCCTCTATCTGTCTATCTGTTGATTTTAGAGTTGTCGACAATTTTCAACTTCTTCACCTGCTGAGCCAATCCTGTCGACCCATGATGCCAATTATCTGTCACTATTTCAATGAGCCTACCTATTGAAGATAACGACGTTCTAATTATTAGGTACTGAAGCAAGTGTCTGCCCGGTCAACTGTGCCTGGGGGAAACAAACCTCAGCGTGGAAAACACCCTGCACTCTGACTCTGAGAAGCTTGCAGTGATTCAGAGGTCTGGCATCAGGTAAACCATGTCCTGACTGATGGCTCCACATAATGCGTTATATCATGTAAAAGAAATGACTGTGAGTCATAGTTTCGTCCATAATGAAAACGTCATGAGTAAACAAAAGCTGTCCTATCACCTGACAGACAAGGAGCAATGAGGACAGTTGTCATATGCAACTTAAAAGTGTACATGTTTTTTTAAGTTCTGTAAAGTTGACATTGGTATGAACCTCCAGTTCTTCAACAGAGCTCGAGATGACACATATTTGCGTGTACAAGACCAGTTTTCTGAGTAAACTAATAAAATTGTTCTGCATTTAAATGTTAAAACACTTTCCCACAACTCTTTGTGAAGGTATGAGTGTTTTTTGCTAAATATAGAAAAATACAGTACAAATATTTAAATGAATCTTTGAGCTAGTATACACAACTATCTAGGAATTCATTTTCAACATCAAGGGGAGTTTTTTAGGCGGTAAAGGAAAGCTGCTATAGGCTAAGCTAGTTCAACAACCAAACAAGGTTGTAAATGTAACAGGATGTTGTGGGGCCTAATGTGTCAAACAAAAAAAGGTCAAATAAAACATGAGCTCACAGATTACAGGTTACAGGCTTTTCTAGCACCAAATGAATCATCATAATATCTTGTAATACACCCACCTCAAAAATCCTCTCTCAAAACTCATGACAAATGATTTCGTTTCATTCTCTAATCCAAGTCTCTTTACTGCCGTACATTCTCTTACCTCACCTTCTTTTAGCCCTTTAGTCCAGCCTTATGTGTATGACCACAGCAGTCTGATGTGGTCTGACTGCACGTCCAACAAGCTTTGTTTGAACCATAACAAAAGGCCTGAGGATTAATAGCTCTGCAAATTTGAAGAAGCAAAAAGACAGACCGCAGGCCGGCCATTCTGAGAGCTGTATGGAGTCACTGAAGAGCCATAATAACAAGTTGGGCAACAGGTTTGCCCTGACGTGATGACATTAAAGCTAAATACAGAGTATAAGTGTAATAAAGCTTGTTTGTTGTACTCTTGCAAGGCCTATATTTCTATCTATCTATCTATCTATCTGTCTGTCTGTCTGTCTGTCTGTCTGTCTGTCTAGCTATCTTTTTTCTATATATTTCACTCCACTTATACAAATGGAGACACACGATGCCACGCTCAAATGCTCTGCCTGACTAATGAGAAGTG